AATTTCTTTTTGTCTGCTGATGACCTTAAACTGCGAGTTGGAATGTACAGTCTTAACAGATTTGATAAATATGATGGTGCATTATCATTCAAACATTTCTGACATATGGTGGCCAACTTTTACACAATCCTTTTCTCAACAGGAAGCCAGTGCAAAGTTCGTAAAAGAGGTTTAGCAGAGTCTCGCTTTCTTTTCCCAAGGACAGAACGTCGGGCATGTAATAAGTTTCAAACCGCCGAACCCGCAACCTCATGATTACAAATCCGGCAGTCTAACCACTAGACTACCGACCCCACAGTTGCTAAAAGGATTACGGTGGCTTTTTTTTATTTTTAAACCAAATTGCCATCAACTCATAAACGTCTTTTTGACATTAAAAATAATAATAATAAATCAATTTATATAACGCATATTCATTACAACCATTATGACCCCCAACAAACTCAGGAAGATTCAGAAACATTCTCAACTTCCCCGGAAGCATAGAATGCAAGCTACTGATTGTGCCCGCTAAAACACCAACAAACTTACAAGATCTTTCGCAGTCTCATTCCTTCCTGTATGAAGTGAGAAAAATTCGTGAAAAGTGCCTTTCCTAAGGACGCTATGTTGGGTCTGGATTCAAACCCTTACGGGTTGCGACTCGGAGAGCCTAACAACTAGGCCACCAACGCCACATTTTCACTGGTACTACGTCGTATTCGGCAAATTAGGAATATGGTCGGATAAGTGCGCACGTACCTTAAAAATTCTAAGGTACGGCATGCACTGCACACAGTAAAACGAAACAATAAACTCGCACAGTAAATGTGAGGCAGCGTGGTGAAATCAGGCTCTCTTCAAAATAATGAAATCAGAGATATCGGCCTTTTTTCGCCGGTTTTACAATTTTCTTTCTTCAATTTTTTGTTTATTCAATACCTTTTACATCTATTGAAAAACACATTTCTGGAACGATTTCAGTGAGAAAAAAAGTTGATAAAGGGCACAAAAAATGTAAACTATTTGTTTCCAAGTAAGGCTTGATCTCAAGCTATGTAAAGCTTTAGACTTTGGGAGCCATTGTCTTGTAAATTTTATCTCTGAAATCAGGTGACCCCAACCTTTTTCAATTACAAATATATCGACTTCTATTCAAGAAAGATGGGTAATTTTTTTAAATTACAAGCAAAGCAAATTTTAACGAACATGCTTTATAATGGTACCGATAACTCCATATATCCAAAAACTGACGACCGCCTGATTCCACCACGTCGTAACACAAATGAAACACACAAGCATGTAACTTTAACCCCTTCACAGTCCTATTCACGTGCCTAGTAAGTCCTGGAACTGCATAGTTTCTCCACATCTTGAGATACTAGGGAATGGTAAATGCGGCGTATATAGAAAGGGTAAAAAATATGAACAGATAAGAGAAAGAGGAACAATGACGAAATATTCTAGAGCTATATTTGTGAGGCAGCGTGGTGGAATCAGGCTCTCATCAATTTTTAGACATGTAGAGCTATTGGTATCATCTTAAAGCTTGTTCACTTGTCTTTATTTGGATGAAAAAAATATCCGTTTATGTTTAATACAAGTCGAGATATTTGCAAAAGAAGGAGGTGGGGGTCACCTGTTTCCGGGGTTAAAATTAGTGAGAAAATGGCCCCCAAAGATTAATTATTTCCTTAGCTTAACAGTCCGTGGTAACTGAAAATTTACATTTTATGTGCCTTTAATCAACGTTTTCCCAAAAAAATCCACACAGAAATTAGTTATTTAATGGGCATGAAAGGTTTTGAGCCGAAAAACAAAAATTTGATAAAAATTCACAAACCTGTGGAAAAATGCAAGTTTCTTCATTTTGATTATTTTGACGAGAGCCTCATTCCGCCACGCTGCCTCACATTCGCTTATCTCTTATTTCTGGCAGGAAATAGGAAGATCGTGATGATGTTTTTACTCTGTTTACCAAAGGTTAATCCGCCAATTCCTGTTTTTGATATTATCTAGCACTGACTGTGTTTGCCCAAGGCACAAGTATAATTGTCACCAAGAATATTCCAGAGTTGGTTAGGTGTCGAGCCTCCTTCTCCTACAGTTCCTGATTCGAGTCTTCAAGGAACCAATAAAAGGTGAGCTCATAATTATGTAAATGTAATGTAATTTTTAAAGTTTTACGTCGCCGTTGACATTATTAGGATCATTTAAGAGGCGGGCTGCTTGGACCCTGCTTGTCACGACCAACCCCGGTTGAGAGATATATTTGGTCGCTTTTAAGGACAAGCGAGCTAACCCAGATTTCGATAGTTTCCAGAAATCTTAACTTTCACCAAAAGTGGGCACTGCCCTACCCGTATGAGAAGTTTGGTTTTATTGGTGCGTATATTTGTTTGGTTATAGGAAACACTCTCCATGTCTTTTAAACAAACTGAACGAGGGGCAAAAACTTACCTTCGATTTTCTCAAAACAGCATTTTTTGGTTTAGCCCCCTTGTGCTTAAATGCGGCCATTTATAGACATAACATCTGAGCTGAAAGACGGGGATACTCGATACAAGTTCTCCCCCACAAGGGAATCGAACTCACGACTTCTGCCAAATATCGCACATAACAAGATTGTTCACTCAGCCAAAAAAAAAAAGTGCCCGCGGAAGTCCGCGCATTGGTTCAGATGGCGCTGCAGTCTTTGATTTGAAGCTCTCTTTCATTTTTCCAGAACAAGAACAGGAAAAGCACCGCTAGTTAATTTCACTTCTAGTGTTTTTCACACAAGCAGGGTAACTCTCTCCGCAAAGTCCACGCTTTTTCGAAGAGGGCGCCACCGAATTTTGAGGACGTTTTTTTTAATTGGCTCAAATAGAGGAGCGAACTGTCTTGTATGCACGATCTTTGCTTCTCTGTGAGTCGGCGAAGCGCCTGACCGATACACCACAGACGCCAGCCAGAATAGTGTATAGATTGCTAAGATTATGAAAAAAATATATCATCATTGCCTTTCACCCCTGACAGGGTATAGGCCACATACAAGCTTCTTCCATTTATCTCTGTCCTGGGCCATCCTTCCTAGCTCGTTCCAAGTGAGCTTCATCTCTCTCATGTCCCTTTCCACACATCTCCTCCATGTTTCTCGTGGCCTACCCCTGCCTCGGTCTCCCAGTGGGTTCCATTGCAGTGACTGTCTTGTGATGTTTTCGCTGGGATTTCTTAAGGAGTGTACAAACAATTATACGTGGTTTTAAATATGTAATAAGCCCTTACAGTCATCAACATAATAAAAAGAACAGACCATGTCGAAGGCTTGCTGCTTCATCACAGCCTGCCAGTGCAAACTAGGGCCGTGTGGAGTACTTTCCAAAAAGAAAAACGGACGATGCTTGATGAATTTTCTTGTCCAAATTGGAATAGAAATCAAGTCCTTTGAGTTAGAGGGAAAAGTCTTGCCATTACCGCATAGGCGCCGGTTAAAAATAATGAGCTTGATGGAAAATAAAACTACCTTAGAATAATAGTATTTGGTTTTGCATCATCCCTCATTATGTATCTATCTTTCTATCTACCTACCTATCTATCTATCTATCTATCTATCTATCTATCTATCTATCTATCTATCTATCTATGCACATATAAGATGAAAGGCGCTTTGTAAATTCTATTATTACAATTATTATAATGAATAATCCCTTAAACGTTTAAGAATCCAAAGCGTTACCAAAGACAATGTCAACGTACACTGTCTCTGATGTTACTTTAGTGTCTTGCAACAGCAGAAAGCGCAATAGTGATTTTACGTTCTGCATTTTGTTAGTTTTACTATTATAAAGATAAGTGAACGAAATAATGACGAAAAGATTAAAAGGCTCTGATTAAGTTTCTTTACTGTGTGTAAAATGTGTGATTCGAAGCAAACGTTGTGCACAAATAAATGTCTGTGTATTTTTTACGTATATCATGAGGAAAAAAGCACTGCCAACTCTTTGCCCATGAATATTCTATTTTTCCCTTTCATGATTTTCCTCCTTTCGACATGCAAGAGACTACAAAAAAAGAATGATAAGCATCACACAGATAGACAGGACAGTGGTAAATACATGTTTTACGAGCTGAAACAACCCACTCCGTAAAACAACATTCTCTCTCTCTCTCTCTCTCTCTCTCTCTCTCTCTCTCTCTCTCTCTCTCT